TAAATTATTAAAAAATAATAAATATTATATATTTTAATAATTATATATCTTACAATATTTTTTAAAAATTTAATTAATAATTAATAAAATCTATCATATTTATTTATAATAATTTTAAAAAATAAATAACCAAAACACCAAAATAACTTTCAGTTACAGTTACAGTATAGTATAATCCAGTATAACCACAACCACAACATTTTTCAGTAATTCCAAACACATCTTAAATCATACGGCAAGCACCCAATTTTAATAATTTCATCTGCAGTGCGGAAAAATGAAATGAGTGAATATATATTCATTACTCCATCAAATTAGTAAAAAGTTATCAGCTTGACATCTTTAAAAAGTTTCATTATTTTGTCTTATTTTTATAGTTTGTGCAAGGAAATAACCAATCGTCCAATCCATTAACCAATCTTTGACCATACTGTTTGAACATCACATCTGGGACTGAAAGTAAACATTTCAGAATAATTGGGGAAAATAATTACTTACTGTCATATTTTTCCTTTGACTTTCGGAGTTTTAGACAAATCCAAATGCATAGGAGAAGCAACAAAACACCGACAACCGACGCAACAATGACGATGATGATGATCATTGGACTAGTTCTGTCGCTTTTTCCTTTTCCTGGAAAAAGCCAAAAGTTAAGCCAAAAGTTTGGACCCAGTAAACGGGTTGAATTTTATAATCTTACATATGGTAGAAACAAAATGGGTTAAAGCCAATTATAGTCGCTCTACTTTCATTTTTCGTTCATTATCCTCCTTTTACTTTGAAATCATTCAAAGATCTCCCTATACTCTCCCCAAACATACTACTGTCCTCCCTCTGCTTTCAATTTTCAGACTAGTTACCTCTCTCACCTAACACTGTTACTAACCATTATTAACACCGTTACTAATTGTCATGTAATGGAATTTGCTGTCAAACCTCCTCCATTCATTGATTTATTATCTTTTTAATAAATTTTAATTGTAGACCCCATAAGTTCCATCTCACTCACTATATCACCAACCTAGATCTATCCTTAGACTTATGAAAATAATACATATACAATTTATTTCTACCAATGTGAAAGTTATGTCTTTAAGATTGGCTATTAAAGGATTAATTTTAAGATGTAAAAAGGTTGACTTTGAAATACCCTAAACATAAAAAAAAAGAAAAAAAAAGAAAAAAAAAGAAAAAAAAAGTAATTCTTGAAATAGACTATCATGTTTTGATCAATGGATTTATATTTTAATTGCGCTAATCAAATTTATTTTTTTATAGAGAATGTAATAAGAGAAATAATAAAAAAAATCTTTTAATTTGCACATCACAATAATCATATAAAGTCAAACAAATTGGATTGAGCATTCAGTTTGGATTCTCCAAATTGAACCAAACTTTTAGTTATCTAAAATAATTTTAGATAAGACTTTTATACCAATTCGAACCAAATTTTTAATTTGATTATAATTTTGATTATCCAAAATTATTCAGATAATTTGGTTAATTAACCAAAATAACTAAAAGATATCATTATTTTTTAGTTTTTATCATTAAAAGCTTTTTTTTTTTAATTTTGATTATTTCTAGTCTTTTTGTTCATATTCTTATATATAAGTTTGATAAAAAAAAAAGAGTTTTGTCCAAAAAAATTTCACATGGCACAAAAACTAAAATAAAAAATAAAATAAATTTATGCTAAAAAATTTTAGATAATTTCAAATAATTTGGTTTCTCATATCGATTTATTGTTGCATATTTTATTTTTCCTAACATTGGATCTAAATATTATGATCTGTTATAGACAAAACACTTGCTCTCAAGTCAGCCAATGATGAAACTAATAAGTGTTGGGAAAATTTTGGTTAATAATAAGATAGTTGGTCAGTGTGAGGCACCATTTGGTGAGCTACTAAAAGGGGTTATCACTATATATGTTGTGGTGTAGCCAACTTTAGCAAAAGCAAAAAGAGGTAATCTTATACTAATTGCTTTAGAATACTTATTTTGATTTTGGTAATTGACTAATATCCTAGAGTTTTATCATTCTAAATTTTAAGTTGGATTAT